AACCCAAAAAAAAAAAGGATGGGGGGGGGCAGAGATATAAATAGAACTTTATTTGGGGGGGGGGGGGTGGGGGGGACGCGGCCCCCCCCGAACGAAAAACCAGGAAAAACGGGGAAAAAAACCCAAAAATGGGGAAATTCCCCCGGAAAGGCAAGGAGGGGGGAAAGGGTCGGTCGGTTAAAAAATAAAAACGGCGTTGAAGTAAAAAGGCCGATTTTACCCCAAAAAAAAACCTTAAAAAAGCGTAAAACGGCAGCGATAAAAAAGGGAAAAACACACAAAAAAAATTGAAATAAAACAGCACAAAAAAAATGAAACGGCACAAAAAGCACCCGGTGAAATGTTTAAAGAGAGGGATTGGACCCCAAAAAATGAGGGAGACCCCAAAAAGTGAGAGAAACACCAAAAAATGAGAGAAACCCAAAAAAAATGAAACCCCAAAAAAATGAGAGAAACACCAAAAAAATGAGAAAATCCCCCAAAAAATCAGAAAAACTCCAAAAAATGAAACCCCAAAAAATGAGAGAAACCCCAAAAAATGAGAAAAACCCCAAAAAAATGAGAAAAACTCCAAAAAATGAGAGAAACCCCAAAAAATGAGAGAAACACAAAAAAATGAGGGAAATCCCAAAAAATGAGAGAAACCCTAAAAATGAGAGAAACCCCAAAAAAATGAGAGAAACCCCAAAAAAATGAGAGAAACACCAAAAAAATGAAACACCAAAAAAATGAGGGAAACCCAAAAAAATGAGAAAAACACCAAAAAATGAGAGAAACACCAAAAATGAGAGAAACCCCAAAAAAATGAGAAAAACACCAAAAAAATGAGAGAAACCCCCCCAAAAAAATGAGGGAAACACAAAAAAAATGAGAAAATCCCCAAAAAATGAGAGAAACCCCAAAAAATGAGAGAAACCCCAAAAAAAAGAGAAAATCCCCCCCCAAAAAAAAAAAAAAATGAGGGAAACACCAAAAAATGAGAAAAACTCCAAAAAAAATGAGAGAAACCCCAAAAAAATCAGAAAAACCCCAAAAAATGAAACCCCAAAAAATGAGAAAATCCCCAAAAAATGAGAGAAACCCCAAAAAAAAAATCAGAAAAACCCCAAAAAATGAGGGAAAACCAAAAAAAAAAAAGGGGAGAGCCGACCCCAAAACGGGGAAACCCCAAAAGGGGGAAGATGCAATAAATCAGGTCGGGGGTCCCCGGAACTGGGGCTGAGGCCGGGAATTTTGGGGACCCCCGCCCCAAAGCAGCCGTTAAGGCAGGAGCGATTTTGGGGGGCTCCGGGGGCTGCTCTGGGGAGGGGGAGGGGAAAAAAAAACCCCAAAATTGAGGGGATTGTCCCCAAAGCTTCGAGGGGCACTGAAAATGTTAAAATCTCCTAAAAAAAACCCAAAAAAACCCAAAAAAGGGGAGTAAAACACGGAAAGAAAAATGAAATAACCCCTATTAATATTAATTAATTAATATTAATTAATTAATATTAATATTTATTAATTTGGGATGAAAATAAAGAGGAAACCAGGGCGGGGGATGGGCAGGAGTCACGGATTTTTGGGGATTTTAGGATTTTTTTTGGGGATTTTGGGGGCTCGTTTTGGATTTTTTTTTGGGATTTTATTTTTGATTTTGGGGTTTTTTTTTTGGAGATTTTTTTGGGATTTTTATGGGGTTTGTTTTGGGGGATTTATTTTTGATTTCTTGGGGATTCTTTGAGGATTTTTGGGATTTTTTGGGAGGTTGTGTTGGGATTTTTATTTGATTTTTTGGGGATTTTTTAAGGAATGTTTTAGGGATTTTTCCGGGTTTGTTTGGGTGGTTTTTTTTTGGGTTTATTTTATTTTTGGGGCAGTTTTTTTGGGGATTTTTTTAGGATTTCTTTAGGGATTTTTTCGGGGTTTGTTTTGGAGTTTTGGGTTTGTTT